TTTTTGATGCTTTTCATGTGTCTGCAAGTATCTGCATGATGTAAAATTTGTTATCTGCACACGTCAGCAAGGGTCTGTTTGGATGCTCCTGAGGACATCCGTGTGAGGTCCGAAATTTGCAACCGCAGACTGTACATACTGCAAGAGTGCACGGTGTGTGATGCATCCTTAACGTGTCCTTTGTCCTCGTCTCTGTCAGTGCCAGCACCTCTGAGCCTCCAACTGCCAACATTAAACCGACACCTGTAGTAGCTACAGCCAGCAAACAGCCCGTCAACCCAGGAAACAAACCCACACCGAGAGCAAGCATCAGGCCAATGATCACTCCGGCTACTGTACCCACCCCAACACCCACCGCTACCGTCATGCCGACCACACAGGTGGAGACCCAGGAAGGTGGGTGAAATTGCAAAGTTTCAGGCACAACCTTCTTCCAAAATGGGGAAACGAGCAGATTAATACTGCGAGAGATGAATTTCAAGTAACAAAAGGTGTTTCCATGTGATTGTGACTATTCCCTGAAGCATACCTTCATGTTTTAAATGTGGTTCAGTGAATAAAGGATGGTACAGTTTACACTATTTCTGATTTTGGTTTAGCATTAGTGAATCTTTTTTTAACTGTACCTTTTCAACAGCCATGCAGTCAACTGACGGCCCACCGGTGGAGCATGTCACCGTGTACGGCAGTGCCAGTGGCTCAGTGCGCTCCTCCAGCCCCAACGTCCAGACCACGCTAGCTAGCCCCATGCTGACTGTGCAGCAGACCCAGACACAGGCCACGGCATTTGTTCAGCCAACACAGCAGCAGAGTGTGACCCACACCGAGCCAGCCAATCAGGAGCCACCGCCTGTGGTGATCGAGGCAACACCTAGCTCGCAGGTGGAATGGCCTTCAACGTCCTCCACCTCCTCTGTGTTTGGCACCGGTGAGAAACACAGAAAGCTGAGATTATTATATATACAGTAGTAATATGATTTTTAATTTGGACAAATGTAGGATGTGCACAGTACAGGGGTGTTTAAAGAGGTCAAGAAAGAGCCTAAACAATACCTTCAGTGTCCAAAATTACATCACACATTATAAAGAGGTAATAATATCTGATGTAACACCTGGATTAAGACCCAAGTTGTTGTTTAACTATTTTCAACTATGAGCCAAACATGCAGTTAATTCATTAAAAATGTTTTGATTAAACCACAAATTATTCATGGTACGTTTTTAAAATAATATGTTTACCCTCAGTGATATTGCTAAATATTAGCTGTACCTCCAGTTTCAGCAACACCAGGAACCTCTGCGATGACCAAGAGGCCTCGTGAAGAGGAGGAGAGCAACACGGTGGTCACCGACACCGAGGCCACGCAGGAGGACACCTCCAGGGCTCCGATACCAAAGAAGTTACGCATCATCCAGAGAGTGGGTCCAGAGGTGAGGAAGAGGGGAGACCGCATGAAAATCTGCAAGAGCACAAGTGTTTCTGTTATTTTTAATTATGATGAAAGTTGTTGGTCCAGCTCTGATTGTCATGTGGCCTCCTTCCTAGGAGGAGGTGCTGGCTGAGGACAGCGCTGAGGCTGAAGGAGTGGTGCCAACAGACAGTCAGGACGGTGCAGAAGCAAGCCAGGTCAGCATAATCCAGCAGAAATAATTAGAAATACTATTGAATGTGTTCTTACTTATGTACGTCATCCTTCTAAAATCGAATTATTCTAATGATATTTTCTGGTGACCAAACAAACACATCAAAGCAGGTTATCAGTCGGGTCATAAACCTGCAATAAACTTCCCTAGTTGTCATTACTACCTTTGCTTTTCCTTTTAACCGTATTGTTTTCAGATGAAACGTAGATTATCTGTCAAAGTTAGCATATTTGATGAATCTATTTATAAACATCCTGCACGTTTTTTGAATCTTAATCTCAGGGATTGTGTGACCTGCTGGAGGAGCTCTGGCCTGCCACAGGTCTTTGTCTTTTTAACATAAAGCAGCCGAATACAGCTAAATATGTACCATGAAGCTGAGGAAACAAATGTACTCGTAATGATGGTTTAACGAGTCATTTAGGACGCCGCTTTTATCAGAGTAGTCGACATGAATGCATGTTGTGCCTGCTGCAGACGGAGGAGTTCCCAGCGTTGGAGGAAGTAGATGAAGCTTCAACCTCTCAGTCTGTTGCGATGGAGCAGGAGGTTACCCTGTCCCAGAGCGACTCCATTCACCAGCTGGATCATGAAGTCATCGTCATAGTGACAGACACAGAGAGTGACGAGGACCAGGAGGAGGAGGACGAAGAGGAAGAAGAGCAGGTACAGAGTTTGTGTCGTGCGTTTTAAAAGGCCGTATATAACCTGGCATTAAATGTGGTGAAAATGCGTCCCTTTAAAAATTCTTTGTTTTGACCGCTGTTTGCTGTAGGACTACGATGAGGAGGAAGAAGAGGACGACGAAGAGGAGGAGGAGGAGGACGAGGAAGATGAGGAGGAGGACGATGGAGGAATGGGGGAGGAAGGAGAGGACAGCAACGAGGGGAGCGGAGACGGCAACGAGGCCTACGAAGGAGACGATACAGAGGTTGGATTACCTAAGATGCAAAATGCACTCGCAGTAACAAGTCTGACCTTTTTGTAACTGGTTGCTCATGCAGCCTTCATATCCTGTACACCACGTTAACCCTTCCCACGCTTTCACTTTGAGATTTACACTCCGTTTCCAGCTCACACGCTCAGTTTTTCCACACCGTCTCATTTCACAGTCACCCGTGTCGTAACGTTCTGTCTGCCCGTGTTGATGTTTCTTGTTTACATTTTACTCTTGTCTTGGTTCTACATATGCAGTGGGATGAGCCAACGTCTGCAAAGAGACAGTTAATTTTCTTTTACTGGTAGTCCGCATGTGCGTAAAGTTGAAAGGTTAGAATGTGTTTGAAGTGAGGCGTCCATAAACCTCGGCCCGGCGTTTGTTTGTGTGGTTTGGACGTTGAATATTAAATGAATTACTTTTGAAGGCAATTTTTTTTTGTTACCAAGCAGCTGAGTAGAAACTGTAGGTGTCACCAGAGGGGCAACGATGCACAACATTGAGTACGTGACTCTGTTTTGAAGTCATCGTGCCAGTAAACTGGCATTAGATGTGTTTTTCCTGCTGTGTTTCATGCAGCAGTCTTAGGAAAAGATTAATAAAAGGTGAGATGTGTCCCACAGTGTGTGCACGGGAGGGTTAGTTGATTCGCAAGAAAAATGACATTACAATTACTTTGACATTTATTGTGATTGCAGTTTGAATCACAATTTTACTGGAAATGGTAGTTTATGTATTTCTTTTTCCACTGGGGGAGAAAATTAATTCTTTCATTTTTCTTCTGGTCTGTACTGAGTAAGTGTCGTTCGCTGGAGAATCTGATTTACAGGCCGGGGCGTCTCTGTATAAGAGTCAAAATGTCAACATTCAGAGCCAGAGTTTTTTTGTTTTGTTTTTTCTTACTCCTCATCTTAAAAAATAGAACTTTTTGTTGATATTTTGTCCCTGTCAGTATACACATTTTACCTTCATGCAATTACAGACGTTGTCCATATTGCAAATCTGATTATAGTTGGACTAATTGTTCGGCCCTCCTGCCCAGCGTTAAAGGCTCACCCTACTAGCATGCTGTAGCCAACAGACAACCGCTGCCCGTTCCAGGAAGACGAGTGCATCGACATGAATGGTCTGTTCTGTTCAGTGCATCCCGTGATCCAACAGCTACTCCAAGAAGTCTGATACCAAACATTGTGTTCAGAATGAATGAGCGTCTTGTTAGACCGCTGTTGTCCCCTCTGAATACCAGGCATTTTGTGTTTCCAGGTGATAACCAGTTTTAGTTTTACTTTAGTTTTTCTCATTTTTTGCTGATTTTTTATTTGGGCCTCACGTTAAAAAAAGACGATATAAATCAGAGATGATGAATAATGAAACACAGCGTCTCTATAGTGAAACATGCTTATTAAACTTTTTTTAAAAAAGGCTGCACTGATATACAACTCAAATTTTGGGTTCCATATAGAATCAGATTTAAACCTCAATTAAATGTGTGAGCTGGTCTGTACTTCCCAAAAGCAGGGTCAGGAAAGAAGATGACACTTAGGAGGTGCAACAGAGTCAATGAATGTGTTGCTATTCCTGGTGAATTTGATTTACAGGCAGTTCGCTGACAAATCTGCTCAAGTGTTGCGTGAAGCTGTCATCCAACCAGCGCTGTGCTCTCTTTAGAGGACACACTGTGGTGCTGTTTTAACACGGCGATCATATTTAGGGGCTTTATTTTTTACTTGTCTGCCTGCTTCTTTAATAATTCATTCTCTGCCAGGTTATTTTGTTTTTTTGTTTTTTTTATCTTTTTAATCAAGGTAGAAACTGCCCTAATCCTGGGAAAGAAAGTAAGATAGTATTATTATTGTACAAACCCAGCATCTATTTTTGGGTGATGGATAATGATTCCCAACTGACTTTGCTCATTAGCAGCTTTAAAAGCTCAGTTTAAAAACAACACTACAGATCATCTAAAAAAAAATCACAACTCCTGAGCTTTGAGCTTAAAATGCCTGTAAAATGTAATTAATTATGAAAAACAAAAGCTTTAATTAGACAAACTGATGATTACGTCTGTGAATATAAAGTTTGTCTGTTGCCTGTGTGGGTCCTCGACATTGTAGTCCCATACCAATCAAAGTGTACGTTTGTTTTTGCCTTTTGTAAAGGGCGTCTTTGTTCACTATGGGGAGAAAATGAATCATAATGTGTGTGTCTTGCTCTGCCAGTGTATCCTGGCAGTTCCAGTGTGTGGGAAGCATCCCTTATCCTGATCCATTATACCTCATATTCTCATTTTCCTTTTTGTTCTCTCACCCTGTCAAAACTTTTAAAAATTCTGTCCGGGCCTTTCTTGTCTTTAGCCACTCGTCTGACTTTATTATTTTCTTTTGTTCTTCCCTTTCTCAGGGCGCTGACGTAACCGACCCGGGCACCGAGACAGAGGAGAGTTTGGGGGCGTCTGACTCCACCCAGAGGCCGGCGGATTCCCAGACACCCAGCTGTAAGATCCAGGAAACCCCGTCACATACGTAGATCTACCTCAGACTCTCCACATGCGCTCACAAACCGTCCCGCCGTCCAATTAGTTATCTGACACTTTACGACGACTGGGAAAGATGTCATGTGTTGTTGTCTGTCTGAAGGGGAAGGGAGTGTCGAAACAACAGAGGCTTCACCTTAAAAATACAAAATGATTCAAGTTATGTTGTGTATGTCGGAGCCCTGTGAAGTCACACGGGTCTCAAACGTGAGTGGTTAGAAGAACGCAGGGTGTTGGTTCCAATAGGAAAGATAACATTAATTAATATATAGAACTAATGGGCAGCAAATAGGTACTTCTAATAGTGGAAAACTATGCAACAGGCTTGTTTTCTACCATGTTAATACTAATGTGCTTCTTCTAGAGTGTAGAACTCTAGAAGTAGTTTAGATATTCTACATTTATATAGGATTTTTTTTGTTCAGACTTATCCGTAAATTCACTTTTTTTATGTCCAGTGCTCGTCTTCCCTCTAATCCTAGACTTTCTCCCACTTTTAACAACTTGTTTATACTTGCAGGAAATAGTTCATGTGTTAGTTTTGCTGTTTTAAAATCTTTCCAGACTCTTGAGTTTTAGTCCTCGTCCACACGTAGCAGGGTTTTTTGTAAAACCGAATATCCTGCTCCCTCCGTCTAGAAAAAACTTAGGTACACACCACCTCGTTTTTACAAAAGAATTCATCCACACCTAGCCGCATCAGTTAAGCACATTCATATTCTACGTCAGGATGTAATAACTCCGGCGACAGGAGTGACAGCCGGGACGTACGGAAGTTTTCACGCCATTCATCCAGCAGCACGATTTCTCAAAGTTCTCCCACCAGCTGGCAGTGCGTCCCGGTCTGACCCAAAACCGGCGTCAGTGTCTTTGACAGAGAACACGCCTCGGACGTGGAACGGCAAGGTGGCGGAAAATAACCGTCTTTAACGCCGTCCTATGTCTGTGTTCTTGTACGTGGAGCGGTATCTGGGCCTGGACCAGAGACAACACGGTTCTGAGGGCGTCCACGCTGTTTCCAAATGTGAACACAGGTCGGGATCTAAGAACATATTTAGTCGCAGGCAGAGACGTTTCAAAACCTAAAACCCGGTTATTGACGTCCACATGCAGACGCATGAACGGAGGATTCACAGATCTTCACTTTGGTCGGAGGTTTTTGAAAGAATCGTTTTTAATGTCGTAAATCTGCGTTTTCGTCTGGATGACAGGACGAATCGTAGAAACACATCTTTGTTTTGTGAGACACCTGCTGCATGTGGACGAGGCCTTTGATGAGTAGTTTTGTTCACACTTCTTATCGTGCTGGACGAGTGTGTTTGTCTTCCTCTGTTCATGTGAACCTTTTATTATTGTTGTAGTTGACGGCAGCGCTATGGAGGCCTTCTCCACCGAACAACCAATCACAAGCTCCGGCACACGCATGCCCCAGTCACCACGGAGACCGATGCATCAGCTGCCGCCCCGCCTGAACATCCACGCCGCCCCAACCTCAGAACTGGGGGCTCCTGCCCAGGTTCAGGTAGAAGAGTCGTCTTCTGGTTTTCATAGTTACTGCTACTTTTTCCAGATGTGTGTGGAAATGTCTGTTGATGTGATTTTTAACCTGTTGTGTAACATCGTCTTCACAGCGTATCCCTGTTCGTCGGCAGTCGGTGGGCAGACTAACTCCAGGGATGCCGGGCAGCGCCGTAAGTCACATCTGCTTATTTCTGCTATTTACGTTCTTTATACAAATGTAAGTGCCAGCGTTATACTCTGGTGTTTCTGTCTGTGACCCTCCTCTGCCCTCTCTCCCTCTGCAGCAGCACTTCTTTGACGAGGATGACAGGATGGTTCCCAGCACCCCCACACTGGTGGTGCCTCACCGCTCTGATGGTTTCGACCAGGCCATCCAGTAAGTACGCAGCCTCTCTGAAGAAAGAGGGGAAAAAAAGAGCCCACAGATTTATAAATCATGTTCATACTGGCAGAGCTGCAAGTAGCTTAATTCTTCTTTAAAAAAACAAGGAATGGAACATTTTGTCATTAAGTCATTTTCAAATTTGTGTATAAAAACATAAAGACTGAACTTTTTTGGGATTATCTCACCCTACGAACATGTGAGTCATCTGTGTCTCTTCTGTTTGTCAGTTCTCCCCAAGTGGCCGGAGTGCCTCGCTTCAGGTTCGTTCCTTCAGAGGACGTGCCACAGACCAGCTCCTCCTCGCACTCGGACCTGGGACAGCTCGCCTCGCAAGGAGGTGATACACCAGCCTGTGAAACTGGAACTGAAAACCTGACGTTTGTTGTTGTTGTTTTTGGGGTATTTTTGCCCTCATTAGACAGGACCCTTATATAAAGATAGACAGGAAGCAGAGAGGGTGTTCTGGTTGCTGCAACACGGGACCAAACCATGGATGTTGTGGTTTTGCGGTCTGCACCTTAACCGTTACACAACCATAATGCACCAAAATGTTTTCTTCCCTTCAGGTCTTGGGATGTATGAAAGTCCTTTGTTCATAGCAACTCATGAGGAGGAGTCTGGTGGGCGCAGCGTTCCCACGACGCCCCTACAAGTGGCAGCACCAGGTATCTGTCCGCCCCCCTGTCAGTCTGCTACCCAGTTATCTCCTTATCAGCACACCCACTCTGTTTATCAACACACTCGGCGCCATCTGCTTTCTCTGCACACAGCAAACTGGGGGAAGACTTTCACATTTGGAAAAGTCCCCGTTTCTCTCAAAACAAAACATAGTGAACATATTTGGGTTTCTGGCTCTTCTCTTCCAGTAACCGTCTTCTCAGAGGTGGCTCAGTCCGACACCACAGAGCACGCCTCCCAGTCGGTTCCCATGGTGAGCACGTCCACGCCGGGCCTGGTGGTGCCAGGAGCCGCCGGTACAGGGGAGGAGAGAGACGACGTCTTCCTGGAGCCAGACACTGATAGGTGGGTCTCACTCCTCTCAGCAGGCTGTCAGTACGTTGGGTTTCTTTGGTGCTGATGGAGTTCACACTTCTGGCTCTAAAGTCAACAAGCTTTTAGTATTTACTGCTGGTTGTGAGGAAATGTGACGCTTTCCTTCCACTGTTGATACCAGCAGCTCCATCAGATATACAGGAAGAGGTTGTAAAGGTTACCGAGAGCAGTGTTAAAAATTAATGTGTTAAATCCACAGATTCATCTCTTTACATGAACACAGACATTTTCTTTTGAATGGATGAATTGAATTTATTTTGAACAAATGAAAGAGAAAAAGAATCTAAAAACAAAAGAAAATAATTTAAAAAGAGCAAAAACAAAAAAATAACATCGCATAATCAAATCATAATATTAACAAGTTCGAAAAAGGACTGGGATGAAGTACACACTTTTGATTTTGACGGCCCTGATACACATTTATTTGATAAATGTAGGCTTGATCTGGCGACCCCCTGAAGTTTTCTTAGGACCCCCATGGGGGTCCTGACCCCCAGTTTGAGACCCACTGACCTAGAGTATGAATGACAACATGATGCGTTTTGTCTGCTCAGGCCCAGTGCTGAGGCGTCGCTGGATCCTGTGGTGTCTCAGGCAGACATGGAGGAGCCGAGCCAGCCGTCAGACAAGGCCAGCCTCCCCTCCACCAGCCAGGAGCCTTCCTCCAGCTCTGCAGGTACAGCGGAGCCTCCTGATTGGGCAGCTTCACTTGCTCTGAATGTCCGTCATCACATTTTAGTTTTGCTTCATAACAGGGAGTGTTTATCTGTGTTGTTGTTGTTGTAGATACAAGCAGCGCTCCACCCAAACCGTCTCGACCCGGACCCAGCAGACAGCTGCAGCGCTGGCCGGACCACCGGCCGGGCCGCATGAAGAGAGGAGGTACCGTTTGAAAGAAGACAGATTATTTGTGGTTGTAAATCTGATCTGTGGCGCTGATCGGGTCCGTGAGAAACGAGGCTCAGAACCACTTTGTGCACTGGTTGAGGTGGTCAGAACGGCTCAGACTTTAATTACTGACAGCAAAGCACGCTGGAGGTAACGGCTGTTCATGTCCATCAAGAAGTGAAGAAAACACAGCAGCAGACTGGGACGGTGCTGTTTGTGTTTTCACATTAAAACCAACCACATACCAGACGTTTAGAATATCTGTGAAGGTTCTTCAAAATAAAACGCCGTCTTCCACACAATCCCCCTCAACACTCCGTCTTTACTGTGAAGTTATGGGTTTCATCTGCAATGTATAAACAGCTTTAGAGATGTTTCTCTTTTTTTCTTTTCTAGTTGTCGCACTAAATCATCTAAAACTGATTTATCTCTCTGTGCAACGTGTTCTTCACAGATATATATACTCGTGTTTTCTGATTCTCAAATGTTCACTGACGACTTTCGTGTTGATTGTTTTAAAGAAAACAACTGAGTGCACGTTGTCCCTTATAGTTCAGTTTTTAATGATAACAAGAGAAACCGTAAACATCATCGTACATTCATACATTTGCTGTACAGAATTTTTACATCAGTATAGCAGACTCCTCTAAGAATGTGTTTTCCACCTCAACAGGTCAGGCCTTTCCTTCTCGAGGTCCACGACGGTTCGCAAGATGAAGAAGCACCAATCAGAAGACGTGACAGCTCATCATTCCCGCCAGACACATTTCACATCAGCTCGTTTAGACTCTTCAATCTTGATAATGTTCACTTGTTCTGAAGCTCGTTGTTTTCTTTTCTGTTGCTGTGGTTTGTTTTCTAACGTCCTTGGAACGTACCTTTTTGTAATTACAGTCCAAGCTGAAGCAGCGTGTTTTATGAAGAATATAATAAAATTAAGAACTGTAACGACGTTGGTGTGAAAGGTGGATGTTTGTTTTTCGGTCACACTTTCTTTGGACACTTGAAGACGTCGTTGGCCTGAGGCGGGGCGTTGGCTTTGGGAGCAGCCAGGACGGGACGCTCGCCGCTCATCCTCACGTTGTAGGTTTTTGCTGCAAAAGAAGCAGAAGGAGACGTTTGTGTAACGTTTACATTCATGAATGTGTTTTTCACGCAGTTTCCGTTCTAGTCAACATGAACCTGGCACAAAACAGTCTGTTTCCTACATTCATGCCTTTTAAGTTTTTAAGACGTCCTCTCGGGCATCTCTGGGCCGCAGCAGGTTGTGTTCTGTGAGTGACGTACATGGCGAGACGCTGAACCCTCCTGACACACTGCTGGCTTTAAACTGAGTGATTTGTTTCTTTCCTTTGACTCAGGAACTAGTTATTTCCAAACTATCGGTATCATCACTGACATGGAACCTTTTACTGTGGTCTGAACCTTTGTGGAACCTCGTACCGGCTGTGCTCTATCAGAAACGTAAGCAGTAGGTGAATGAATGGACCCCACCCTTAATGAGCTTTACATGTGTCCAGTGTCCCACCCTCACACACACATGGTCCTCGTTTCAGGCGTGATGTGAATGAGGACGGACAAGAGGACGCTTTGTACTTTTGGAACTGACCGAGGACATTTTATGAACAAAGGAGTGAAGAGAAACCACGATCTCCAGTTAAACACCTCTTTAGCTTTTATTTCAGGCCTGGAAATTGAATTTTTCTGTGTGTGTGTGTGTGTGTTGCACGTTTCAAACCAGCATGTGTGGAAAATCATCCAGGATCAGTAAAACTAAATCTACCCTAAACTGACAGTGATGACAAAGCAGCGATAGTAAAATGACAGAAACTCCCATTTTACTGCTCTGTTGAGGAAACCCGAGTCAAAGTATGTACAGCTGTCCTCAAATCTATTCATCTCCTTCCAATAAAGAAAAGGCAAAATTCACAATAGTCACGCAAATAATGAGAAACTGAACAAAGTAATAATAAATAAACATTTGCTAAATTATAATTTATTGAAAGAAGATGTTGCTTTTGAATTGTGGTTGAAAAGAATAATAAAAAAAACAAATTAAAAACTGTCGTGGACCAATGAGAGTGCTTTGCTGATGAGCAGTGGTCCAGAACACCTGTCAACAGGTGCACAAGTCTGAGTTACAGGAAACACCTGATGGCAGTGATTGGCTCAAAGGGTTGTTCAGCTAAATATTAGTTTACGGGTCCCATCATGCTGGTTTGTTTTATATATTTCTGTTAAACCACAATTCAAAAGCAACGTCATGATTTCATTTCTTTCTTTTTTTTTTATTACTTTTGTCAATTTCAACTTGTTTCAGTGACTGAAGCCGTTTTTTTCCTTCTTTAATGAGAGCATATGAATACATGTGAGGACGACTGTTAATTGATATAAGATGTTAATTTAGTGCTTAATAGGAAGAACAGATTTTCTTCAGTTGTTAAGTGCTGAACGTATTGATTAAAACTGGGCCACTTATCAAACACATTGATCGAAACAAATCTGTTGATAAAGGGGAGGTTAGATGTGAGTATTGATGGCTTACTTCTTGAGATGACGTAGTATTTGTATCCCTCCGGTTCTTGGTTGTTTGGGATGGACACGGCGGCCGTGATGGTGGAGGGGAAGCCTCTCCAGGACGTCCGGATGTTGATGGCTGGTTCTAGGACAGACACTGGAAGCAAAACAATCAAGTGTTAAAGCTGCGTCCAAACCAGACCGGATGTCAGCGATGGAAGGATTCACCCTGTTCTGCTCGTTTTCTCTGAGCTGGAACGTTTAGACAAAATGTACTAGATTGTGTTGTTTTCTATGTTTTCTGACAACTCCTGAGCAGAGGCGCTGCCATGAACCGCACACAGGCCGTTTGTTTCCACTTGTTATTTGCCAGCGGTGCCCTCGTCCCTCCACCAAACCGTGACTCACTTTTTCAGGGAACTGCATGTGTTGCAAGTCAAACAGAACACATGTCAGCCAATCTGTCCCAGAGCTCCTCCAGCACACTCACTACGCTCATAAAGGTCGAACCAATCAGGGTTTTAACCGCACGAAACAATCTGAAACACAAGCTTCTCGTCTTAAATTACCTGCTTGCCGGGCCACTCGGTTGCGGACTGTGTAAATGGCATATTGAGGTTTCCTGCTACATGTTGGACTGGTACCAAACTGGTATGAATACTTCTGGACATATCCGCCTGAAAGAACCAGAATCCAGATCATAGTTAGTCTTTAACAGAAATTCAACAATCCAACTATTTTATTTTTTTATTTCATCACCTCTCTTGAAGAAGTACACGGACTCTCTCCTGCTGCGGTGCTGAGGGACGGACAGAGCAGCTGTGATGTGGCCTCGCAGCCCATCAAAGCCTGTCGACACAGCTTTGGGATAGCCAACGTCCAGAGCATCGTTCTCAAACCTCCAGTACTGGTTTCCCTGTGAGCATGAAGCAGAGCAGAACATTTCAACTTCAGCCAACTTTAACACACCTGCTGCAGAAACATATTTCATCAGAGAAGACCCACCAGGGTTCACACATACACGGAATCAGTCAAAGTCAGATTTGACAGGATGCAATAAGTCGGTTTACCTTGAAAATGTACGTCTTTCCCTGACAGTTGCAGCGAGTGAACACGGTGTCGACGGGGGACGGGACGCCCCACACCTGTGTGATGCCTTGAGCCGGACCTGGTACCCTGTTTCTGTCCAGATACCAGAAGTAGTGACCTGAGAAAAATAACATCAGCGTTAGGGATCTGCCAGATATCAGCTGGGCTGATTTACAGATCCGATATCAGCATTTTTCCAACGATCATTAGTTTTTTAAAACCAATTCTCTGTAAAATAAATAAAAGGTACTTGATTTAAAGATATTTCTTTATTAGATAAGACAGAGAGAGACACAGGAGAGTGGGGGAGAAGAATGGGGGAAGGAACTGCAGCAAAGGGTCATGAGCGGGACTCGAACCCATGACCGCTGCATCAGGGACTACAGGCCCTGAACATGGGACGCCAGCTCAACCAGGTGAGCTGTAGCGGCGCCCAAAAGGTGCTTGATTTAAACAAAATTGCAAATGCTGACAACTAGATCCATCAATCCATCATCTCTACACCTTAATCCTCACCAGGGTCATGGGGGGCTGGAGTCTATCCCAGCTGACTCAGGGTGAAGGCAGGTTCACCTGGACAGGTAACCAGCCTATCACAGGGCTACACTTAGAGACAGACAACCAAGCACACTCACATTCACACCTACGGACAATTTACAATCACCAATTAACCTCAGCATGTTTCTGGACTGTGGGAGGAAGCCGGAGAACCCGGAGAGAACCCACGCTGCACGGGGAGAACATGGAGACTCCACACAGAAAGATCCCGGGTGTCCTCACCGGGACACGAACCAGCGACCTTCTAGCTGTGAGGCAACAGTGCTACCAATGCAGCCCGATAACAAGATGCATATGTCATATGTGTTATCGGTCTTATTGATTACTAATAATCTGTATCAGCCCTAAAACACCGTAACGGTTGACGCCTCATGAGTATATAAAGCTGGTGTGTCTGCATCAGCCTGTCAGCCGATGGATTACCATCACACTACTGAAATGTGTCATATTTTTCAAGGTTACATACATTCCTAGTTGTTGTACTTTTTGCAGTATTGGAGTGCTGGAAGTATTCGGATACTTTACTCAAGTAAAAATCCAACAGCGTAAAAATACTACGTTCTGTATTTAAAACTGAAATGAAGGTGAAGTACGACGTGAGCAACATTTAATTATTACAGCTGCTCAAGGTGGAGCCATTTTTTAAAAACTATTTATAATATGATGCAGAGGTTCCCAAACTAGGGGCCTGGTCCCCTCAAAGGGTCATGAGATGAATCTAATGTACTTGGTAAAGTACAATGATGAATTTACAATTTCATTTAGCAGAGACGCTTTCATCCAAAGCGACGTACATCTGAGAGTTGATCACATTCACACACCAATGAGCTGCCATGCAAGCTGCTGCCTGCCATTGGGAACAATGTTTGGGTTCAGTGTCTTACCCAAGGACACTTCCACTGTGGAGGGGATCGAACCACCAACCTCGCAATTAAATTAGATAAATAAAGTATTTTTTATTTCATTAGAGGACAACCCGCGCAACCACCTGAGCCACAGCCGCCTTAATTTTATTAATGAGGTAGGAAAAAATACAAAACAATTCTGCATAAATTCACAGTTGCGACATTAAAGCGTCTGTGTTGTATAATCGAACCTCTTTAAAATGTTTAAATAAAAACTCTTTTAGTGGAAAGAATACCAGCTAATATAATGTCATGTGTTCCTAATGTCACAGAACAACGAGTCACTGTAGTTGTTGGTAATGTAGTGGAGTAAAAACTGTTTCCATCTTCCTTTAAAATATGTAAATATGTGTATTTTCCATGTAAATGTGTGGCTGCCTGCCGCTGACCTCTGAACACCACCGTGGTGCCGTTCCTCAGGGTGGTGACGGCGCCGACCGGCCGCCCGCTGCACAGGTTGGTATCGTTGCTGTCATCTGGGAAGAAGAAGCACATTTTAGAGGAAAATATCTGTTTGGATAAGCGAGTAATCAAAAAACATGCGGCTGGTTTTCTGGGTAATTTTCCGCTCCAGGAGTCGCGGGGACTTTTCCTCTGTTGTCAACTGTTTTTTTTTCTTTTTTTTTCCGTTCTTTAAAGTACCTGAGCTGAGTTCCAATTTCAAAGGACTCCTACATTCATTTACAGTGTGAGAAAGCTGCCGTCTCTGTCACGTATCATTGCTCTGTTCACCCAGTGGCATAATAGGAAAACACCTGAACTCATAAAACCAGGCCGACTGAATCTGGACGCCTTCGTCTCTGCAGCGATGTCAGCCACATAAAATAAATTAGATTTCTGAGGAGCCCACAGAATGGAAAATTTCACACTCACATTGAAGTTTCCCCTCTCTCCCATTCACATAATTTATCTTAGAAGTAATTTCTTTTGTATGAATGATGCATTAAAGATCTGAGCTGATGATAAGAACACGTCTCACCTCCTTGGTAACCTCTGGTGTCATCCATGTTGGAGGTTTGCTCAACATCCAGAGGCTTAGT